ATGCTGGAGTAGCAGGTATGTGGGAATTCTGCTTATGATGCCGTGCTGAGGAGAAAACAAGGCTTGCTTTCCTGACACTGGACAAGAAAATTTTATCCTCACCAAATATCCAGTGTCAGTGTTTCTAGTTGTGCAAAGGGGTCAGTTACATAATTGCAAAATACCTGCTCCATGGAGATGACAAACCTGGGAGGCTATGGGGCCCCCAAAGGCTTCCAGAGACCCATGTAGTCTGGTTGAGAAATCCACCCAACTAAAATCCATTCTCCAAAAGTACAAGATATGAAAGAAATGAAAGAAAATTTCTGCTGTAGAAAGTTTTGCTTCCCAGATTTGTAGACCAGGGACCTTTTTTTTTTTTATTTCATTTGGCAACACTTGAAAAAAAGGGGAAATGAAAGAATTTCTGCTTAGGTTTCCTACTCAGCAGAACTCTCTAGTCAAATCAGATGCTCTGAGGAATAGGCTGGGTGTAGATGAGAAGGTGGTAAGAACCCAAACCACTAATTGACAAAAATACCTCAGTTCTCAGAGGGCTGACCTGATCATTACAGGCCATGGGATTAATTGAAAGGCCTCCTGCAGGGCAGGCCTTTTCATGGAGAAAGCTTTACCTGGGACAAAGATGCTGAAGGAGCTTAGAAAGTTACTTGAAGACAAGCTGGGTGGAAACCCTCTGCACCTCCGGTCAACATGACCTGAAAGGATAGTGTTTGATCCCAAATACATTAACCAGTATGACCCTGGGAATTTGAGTGAGATGACCGGGCCTGGTTCCAGCTGGGATCAGAGGGAGGGAGCATGGCCAAGACATTGTGGAATTCAACACCTCTTCATGTCATTGCCAGGGGTGGGGAAAGGGACACTCACTTCCAGGAAGAAGGATGTTCCTTTCTAGTTGGCAGGAAGCCTTGGGTGGAGGGGAAGACAGGTTGGTATTTTGCCACAGGCTTTCCATTTAAATAGTTTCTTTTTCCCACACCTTTTGTTATTATTATCACTGTTACTGTTAATTTTATTATCTTGTTGCTTTTTCCAGTAAATTGTTGTTATCTCATTGCATTTCATGTTTTGAGCTGGGAGTGGAAATGAGTAGTAGTGGTATTTTTGTTGTGTGGGGCTTTTTTTTGTGTTTTGAGGTTTTTGTTTGTTTGTTTGTTTTTTGTTTTGTGGCATGTTTTTTGGTGGGTTTTTTTCATGTTTGTTTTAGTTTTGGTTTTGGTTTTGTTTTTTCTTGAGTGGGACTACTAAATTGTGGAATACCATTCCTAAACCATGACATGCAGCAACCAAATGTTTCAGAAAAGGGAAGCTTTGGTGTGCATATAAACCATGGAGGAATGTGAAAGGTCAACTCTGGTGCTTCACAGGAAAGTAGAAGAAGGAAAACTGCATTTAGTTTTAGCTTATTTCTAACCTGCTGCTCACTGAGGTGGAGATGGGTGGGATACTGTCTGATCCTTCCAGGAGGCTTCTGAAATAGCAAAATACATGGCCTGGCAATGGTGTGTTATCTCATGCTCTTTCTTTCTTTGTTCTGGGCCAGCTGGGTCCATTTGGGGTCATTTCAGCAACTAACTTGCAGATAGACAACTATTAAGTTAAACCCCCCCCCCCCATTTATTTGCACTGAGCACTGGTACCTTCTACCACAAGTGTATAATAAAGAAGTGTCTCAAAGTCTCAAACCAAGTAAATGACTATTAGAAAACTAAAAACTCACAAACCATTAACCAACAGGACAAACACCAGGAGCTGATCTCCATTTCTTAGAGTTTTAGCAGCAAGATAAAGAATATTTTCTGGTAGAGTTGGCATATGCATCCAAACCCACTGAGCTCAACACAGACTTCACTGGTGGTGCACTATGACCTGGGCAGTGCAGTAGATAAGGTAAAATGACCTGCTGGTCCTTCCCTTGCTCTAATTTTATGGATGTTATAGAGAGAATCACAGAATTACAGAATAGTTTGGTTTGGAAGAGACCTTAAGGATCATCTCGTTCCAGTTCCCCTGCTGTGGACAGAGATGCCACACACTAGGCCAGGCCCTGAACAGCCCCAGGGATGGGACAGCCTACAGTCATCATTGCTTTGGTGAATATAAAGAAAAGTCTGCAGTGAGTTGGGCAGATGGTGGGGTGGTAAATGATGAGAGAAGTGGTGGGCTCTTCTCTCACAGAAGTTGATGACCTTTACTAAAACTCATGCTAGCAACACTTTCTGCCAAGTCCCACTTCTCTGTCAGTATTCTCAAATCACATTACATGATTCAGATGAAACCCACAGTATGAGCAAAATTTGCTGCAGCATCATTAGCTCAAATATCTGCTAGTGGTGCTCATAAAGGTAGTGCTCTGCAGGACAGATGTGAGCTGTTACCAAGGGTGAGCTGTTACTGCTTTGTCACCAGGATGGCACCAGACAGATAATGGAGGCTGAGACATATCAATGCCAAGAAATAAACCACATTTCTTTATTTCCCATTTCACCATCCCATACCATGCAGGGAAAACTAAAAGTGGATATACTCAAGTCACATTACCTTCTCATCCCTATTTCCCCTTAGTTCAAACCTCATACATATTAGGTAAAAATTTTGAAATTTCAGCAAAATGACTGATTTCTACAGTCCAGATGGCATGGAAGAATGCTGCTGACTTTTGATGTCAAAAATCAAAAGATGGAACAGAGGTGCCACTCACCTTGGCTATCTGGACAAGGAAAAATGTTGTGATATACAAGATGAAGCCAGTAAATGACTGGTCAAGAGCAAAGAGGAAAAAGACTTCTCAAGCAAAATGTATTAGTCTCCATATTGTTTATTGCTGTTTTTAATGGAAAAGCATTTGTTGACATCACTGCAACTATGAAATTTAAAGGATGTATATTGCTTAAAGAGCCATCTTTTTATTGTTATAGGGACCAAATCTGACTAGGAAGGGTATAGGGAAGGGTATAGGGAAGGGTAATCACCAACTGCTATCATGCCAATTATCAGATGACTGCTGGGAAGTATGGCTTGTACCTGCTGGCTTATGGGAATCTCTGCTTTTACTAGCACAGAAATTTAGGAACCATTTGAACATATGGAATTGTGAGCTGACCCAGTGGGAGGGGTTTGGTTTGTTATCCTGGGTTTGACACTCATGTTTTCCCTTTTTTTTAGGAGTGTTTCCCGAACAAAATGAAGTCATGGGGGCTACAAATCTGTGAAGCAAAACTTCCTCTGACAGGGATTTTGCTATATTATCTTTCATAGTTTGTCTCTTTCAGATTTGATAGTGTGCAGCACTCACCTGGTGACTTGTCTTGGTTTGGAAAGACATGTGTTTGCTAAGAAAGGAGCCTCCCTTGAAATAGAAAATGCAAACCCCCTCCCTCCAAATTATTATAATTTTGAAATTAAGGTGCTCTCAGGCAAAGATATGGGAGTAGGAATAATAGTTCTTTATTAGAAAAAAATATAACTTTTTAAAATGCATTAATACAAAACAACACTGACAAAGTCAGAATATGACCTGACACCATGTGGGTCAGGGTGTTGGTAGCAGTCCCATTAAATGGTGGCTGCGGCCCTCCTGCAGTGACAGGTGTGGTTCTGTTGAAGCAGTGAGCCTGTAGAGGGATGTAGTTTTCCTCTGGAGGTCCCGGGGTGGTGTTGATGGGCCTGGTCTTCCTCTGCAAATCCAGTGGAAAAGGCTGCCTATGGTCTTCCAAATCTCTGATTATATCCAAGTAGGAATGCTTGGCTCCTCCCTCTGGGCAGAGCTTCTCCCAATGGGATGATGTAATTTTATCAGTCATGCAGTGACACTCAATGGCCCATTAACAGATTGGTTGTGAAAGAAAACTGCCGCACCTGGTTTTAACAGGTGGCCCAGAAGATAAATGCCTCATGTCTGACAGATGGCAACAGAATACACACTCCCAGCCACATGTTGCACTTCCAACCTAAGATGTGACTGAAGCCTTCACAACCTCCTTCATTTGGGGAATAATAGCAGGAGTTTATCTCATTTGGGCTTCAGTTGAAGGAACAAGATATTGTTTCTCCTGCTTCCAGCATCAAGGCTGGAGTACAAGCTCCCCTCACAGAAAAATGTGCAAGGATTGCTCTGCAGTGCTATCAGGTGTTGTTAGGAAGGGGTGGATTGCAGGAATAAGCTGTACTACAGTAGCTTCATATGCAGAACTGGCCACATTTTCCCACTTCTGCTCATGGCTTTTTTGCTACTTCCAGTGGGGAGAAGAAAAGCAAGGAGGAAAATGCCCCAAAAGCTTCATATCTGTAGCATGTGGGGATTGAGGGTATTTATAAAAGTCTGCATGGGTTTGTTGAAAAATGTTTCAAAAGTGAGCAAGGAACTTTACTGAAACACAGAGGGTATTTATGTCTTCAAACTACACACACACACACACAAATACACACAGGGGAATAAGCTATTGCTGCTGCCAAGCTTTGAGAGAAAACCTTGGTTTCTATTGTGTTTTTATTGCATCTGTGATGGTCATCTCAGAAACTTCCTCCTTTGATGAAACTGACGACCTAGGCTTGACTCCAGGCACAAGAAAATAATTCCAAATAAGGACCTGCAGTCTGACAAGCTGCTGTGCTCCAGAGAAGGATAAACTGACCATGTTTATCAGCAACTTAAACTAAAGGAGGCTTTTTTACTTCATCACTCCTTCCAGCTGCCAAAGCTAACTGTGATTAGGAAGAAGGCAAATAACTGTAAATTGTATTTTCTGCTTCTGGAGATGCTGACAGACAAGGCTTATGTTCCTTAGTTTGCTGAACACTCATGGGTCATGAGGGAGCCTTGAGAAAGAGCATCTCAAGTGCGGGCTGGGGGAGAGAAGAGAAAAAAAGATTCCCAGCAGGCAGTGAGAGCACTTCTTTATTTGCAGAATTCAGTGAATTCAGATGTGCCTCCCTGTAGGTTCATTCACAGGTTTGTGCTCTCACATGATCAGAATTATGGAAAATAGATAAAAATCTTTTTGGCTGACAGTTGTCATTAGAAGAAAACAGCATCTCAGCAATTCATGAATAGCTTCTATTAATCATGGCACTACCAGTGACAGCTGACAGGTTTTGTCACTACATAGATGATAAAAGGAGGTGTTATTCTGGGTTTAATTCCAATAAGAAGCAAAAATACTAGAAAGAGTAACTAATAAAAGCACAATTGTCCAGGGAATAGTTATCTGTAGTTGATATGTAAGGATAAGTAAAGGGTTTTTGTTTTCTGAAACAACAAAAGACTTCACAAAGCAAAATCAAGTAAAGATAAATAAGAACAGGTTAAAGTCCATCTGAGTTAATCTTGCCAAGGAAACAGAGGAAAATATAAAGTTTCTTTGAGGTGCATAGATTGAGAGTACTGAGCACTATATGCTTTGTCATGGCAGAACTTGGAGATAATGCCTTTGTCTCAAAGTGAAACAATTACTGGACTGGAAGAAGAATTCAACACAGTTTGTGATTAATACGGCAGGCCTGTGGATATCCTGAGTGCTTGGAGGTCCAAACTTTATGTGGTATTCATTGAACTTGCAAGATACTTATATTATTTGTCACAAAGTGTTTTATATTGTACTGAAATAATCAATGTTACACTTCCAGATTTCTCCTTGTCACCTTGCTGACTGCCAAAAAAGATCGCTCTTCTGTCTAAGAGCACAGCTGCTCTGACTCTCAGCATCTTTTGCAACACACAAAATATGCAAAGGAATCAGCTCAAGCCTCTCACAAACTTGCTATTGTTCAGTGTTATGCAGGATCATGGTAATAGAGGTCCCCAGGTGATTATGACAGATGTCACCAGGGCCTGGATTAGAGAGGCATAGTTTACCTGCCTGCTCTTCTGCCACTCTCTGACTTGGACACATTTAGGAGAGAGGAATTTGCAAAGGTGGTCGCAGTGCTGTGATTCCAGTTTGCTCTCTCCTCAAGTCATCATGATTTCTTGAGATTTTGAGCTTGCTAGTGTGATGCTGGAGGCTTTCCTTGTTGTTTTGGTGTGAGGCAGTTCCTGGGGACTTTGCTCAATATAAAGCCTCTTTTTGTGATCACAGTGACCGAGGAACAGGTTTCAAAGGGATGCTGGTGTCCTTTCTGTCACATGCTCTTGGTCAGGAAGAAGATGGGCAAGGACAAGCAGATGAAAAAAAGTCCCACAAAAGGACTTGGCCTCAGACATCACCCACAGAGAAAGAAACTGCCCAAAACAGAAAACAAGGAAATAGAATATACTGTGTTATGGTCACTAGAAGTTCAGAGGGCACAAATTCTCCTGATCCACAAGAAAGGATCACTTCCATGTTTCACTTCTGGTAACACTGATACATGGAACTGAAGGTAGAGAAGGTCTATTAATTTGTGAAGGTGGAGCTCTTGTCCAAAATCTATGTGACTTTTGACTTTTGCAGCTGACTTGAGCAGCATTCAAGACTCTAGACGTTTTGAACAACAGTAAAAGGAAGGATGGAAAAGAGAATGGAGATGCGACATGGATTTGGCAGAGCTAGAATGTGCAGAAGCAGCTTAATCCTGGTTCTGCTCAGTGATTTCTCAACTCAAACCTGTTCAAGGTGTACATTTCTGAAATGTCCATTATTTCTGAGATGACATGGAAGAAGTGGCTGCTTGCAGGAATAAATACATGATAGTAAGAGGCATTCAGTGTCATTTGTGAGCCAGCTGAATCTTCCCACACATTGTGGGTGAGCAAACTTAATTTCTAGGTACATATCTGAAAGCTCAAATCTAGATGGATTTTAAAAAATCCCATTGAATACAATGTGAGATGGGAATTCCTGATGAAAGGGCTATGGAGTGACATAATAAAAATGGGCAAAGAAGTCTTAGAAATCCACAAAGGCAGGGAGGGATAATGCAAAATACTTCTTAAAGCTAGGGGAAGGTGGTTCTAAAGAGGTTGTACATTAGAGAAACAAAAAGAAGTTATGCACATGGGACTGGAAATGGACAGAACTGCATATGAGCAAAAACCCAGCACTTGTCTCATGTAGCAGAACAAAGTCTAGTGAAGATGACAAGTTTACCCAAGGAGACTTTACTGTGATTAAAAGCACTGGTGCAAGAACAAATATTTCTACATGGGACATAATCTCAGGCAACAACTGAGAAGATAAAATACCAGAAAAATGAGATCTTGAAAGAAAATCCTCCAGCATCCACACTCCTAGTTTAAAAGAGGAAGGATTATATACCATAACTCCCAGGAAGGGCTCAGACCCACAATGAATGCTCCACCAAGCTCCAGGGAATACTGACAGCCTCATTAGGCTATTGTAGATGTTCACAGAGCCATGCCCAGAGATTTCTCTAGAAGGAGGAAATGAGAGCATAAGAGCAGAAAAGGAGGAAGATGACATGTCTGGAGGAAATCCCACACAGCCTGACCTATCCACTGCCATTTCACTGCCTGCTCCCTCCCTGATGCCGTCCAGAAACGGAATCCCATATTTCAAGTGCTGTCTGCCTTCTCTGTGTCTATGCTAGTCACTCCCAGTCTACTTATCTCCATCCATCAATTTGCTAATCTCTTTCAGGAAGGCTGATTAACTACCCTTCCCACTCCTACCCTTGGGTCTCTGCTCTCATCCATCACACACCCAGAAACACAACATCCTTTCCTATACAGACCTTTTATCCTCACCATGTGCACACAAGCACACATCATCCCTTCGAGTCCAGCTATCTTACTCCTCCAGCAAAGTTTTTCTGATGATGTCACAGACCCAAGTTATCCAGAGCTTTGAAGGTGATTTCCTAAAGATCAAAAAGTCTCCAAAATCCAAAAACCAGACTTGTTTTCTTTCTCTCTATTCCTACAAAATTATTTCATATTTTAAAATATTAGAAGTCTAGAAATGAAAGGATTGCCAAAAGATCTCAAGCATTCACTAGTTCTCATCATGGTGACCTCTTTCTTTTTTAGGCTGACTTCCCAAGTTGCATCAAACTCTTGAACTTCCTCTTCTGGGATCCTACAAAAGGTCTCTGTGTCACTGGAAAGGTCTGGCATCATCTTTTCTCCTCTGAGCAGCATGACAGCATCCTCTGTTGAAAAATGAAAGTGTTTTTTTAATGACTAACCAATGCTCTTAAGATAGGAGAAAACTCTGACGCTCAAAAGGTCTGCATTTTGCATGGTGAATGCTTTTCTGGTCCTCATATTCCTGGTCCTCACAGCTCAGGAATAATCCTTTAAATGGGTAAGGTTCAAAGAAGGACAAAGACTATCAAAGGTTTGGGAAAAAATAAACCAAGACACTGCCACCCTAAAGAGCAATGACTAGGGCAGGATAAGATAGAGATCTACAATATCTCCACTGCCAGGAGGACAAGCACTTTAGCATCTCTTTGAAAAAAATAAAGGAGGATGCCAAATTAATTAGTTGGAATCATGTGCAAAATAAAATAAGGTAAGTCATGTTCTAGAAGAACTTGGAAGTCCATGGAGCTGCACTAAGAGGGATAGGAAACAGATAGTTAGACTTTATTACAGAGGAATCATAGAGTTAGGAACAGATCTATAGTTAAAAATCACCAGAAGCACAAAGAGCATCAGAAGGAAACATTAAATTTACCTTGCTCTTTCTCTTCTCTGGACAGCTGCTCTGGACATTGCCCACTCTTGGAGGCAAGGCTCATGGTCTGAAACTGTTGGAATCTGTGGCATTGATGATTTCCAAGACTGTAGAAAGTCTCTGAGCCCTGCAGCCAAAGAAGAAGTCGTAATTCGTCTGTGCTGGTTTTCAAGGTTGTCTGTTCTTGCTTATCTCTAACATGTTCTGCTGCCCTGCCGCAGGTCTGTCCTGCAGGGCAGTGTGTGGGGCTCTGCCCCCAGTGGGATGTTACAAACATTATATACCAGAAACTACCTGTGCTATATTTACAATAATGTGCCAATATCTATCACCTACATTGAACAGTGTGTCCCCAGCCTAAACCAATAGAAAAATGCCAACACTACAGTGAAACATGGAGGGCATGAAGAAGAAAAAGGACAAGACACACCCAATTTCCTCCATCTTGTCCCCTTTGGACCCCTTATCTAGAATCCTAGAATTTTACTTTTGCACCCGTGCCACACTTAATTATTACTTATATCAAATACTCAGAGCTTGTAATTCATCCTGTAAGATTGAAAACTCTTTTCCATGGACAGAGATCAGAGACAGTGTCTCTCGGGGCTCTGTACAGGGGAGTTCCTGACCCCCTGCCAGGGCCCCAAGCCTTCCAGGTCAGCCAGAGGGATGCCCTGGACTCGCACATGAAACCAGTCACAGGCCTCACAGAAGCTCCTGGGCAAGAACTGTGAGAACACTGGCAGAATTCAGCCACCAGCACACAGCTCTCACCTCCTCCTGTGCTGCTGAAAAGCTGGTGTCACTGCATTTTGCAGATGATTCCTGGATGGAACAGCAGGCCATTTACCACTCCCTGTTATCTTTGCCACAGTGTTCCTGGAACAGTCTTTTCCAATTAAAGGCAGCCATTTCTGCCCCAGGTATACCAGCATATAGATAGTCATAAAATCAGTATTCTATTTGTTCATTTATTTATTATTACATATATGATACTTACAGTGTATGTCCTATATCCAGCTGTTATTTTGAGGAATGCTCAGAGTAGAGACATTCATGTGCCGGCCACAGTATTATTGCCAAAGGTAGCAACAGAAGCCTGATTGTTTGTAGACTGCAAGGTTTTTCAGGCAGAAAGGAAAATTTCAAAGCACCACAATTACTGTAAACCCAAGAAATGAAGCAAGATGGGCCAACAGTTTTAGGTAAACATGTTACAAAGCAATGCTTGTGGAAACTGATGCAATGATTAAAAATCTCTCAAGCTTGGATGGCAAGAGAAGTGGTAGACTAGTGGATAAGCAGTACCTTCAGCAGAGTTGGGTTCTGGGCTCTACTGTAAAAGCCAGACCTCTCGCCCTGTCCAGGCCTCTTCTCCATGGTTACAGGCAAACATTTTTTCCTTTAAATTGCTCTATATTGGTCTCTCTCCACTGCAGCACTTGCTGAAGCAATGACAAGCCAGAATTCTGATGAGTTAAAAACCTGTGAACCACCGTACTAGGTATGGAATTTGGGCTTTAAAGTCATGCTTTAAACTACAGGCCTTGCAGGATATGCCATCAACTTCAGCAACTTCCCCACGACAAAGCCAGGACTTTGAGTTGTACTTAAGTTAGCTGAGTTATGTAATAGTTGTGGAACCATAGAATAATTTTAGTAGGAAAAGACCTCTAAGACCATCAAGTCCCACCATTAACCCAGCATTGTCAGCTCCACCATTACATGACATCCTCAAGGGCAAAATCTACACATCTTTTAAATACCTTCAGGGATGTTTACTCCACTAGGTCCGTGGACAGGCTGTTAAAGTGCTTGACAACCCTTTCTGTGACAAAATTTTTTTCTTAGTATCCAACCTAAACCTTCCCTGGGGCAACTTGATTCCATTCCCTTGTAACTGGTTGCCCGGGAGAAGATCCAGACCCCCACCTGTTGACACCCTCCTTTCAGGTCACTGTAGAGAGGCAGGTAACTGTAGGTCCTCTCTTAAGCCTCCTTTTCTCCAGGGCAAAAGTCCCCAGCTCCCTCAGATGCTCGTCACAGGACTTGTGCTTCAGACCTTCCCCAGCTCCACTGCCCTTCTCTGGACTCACTCCAGCACCTCAAAGTCTTTCCTGTAATAAGTGGCCCAAAACTGACCCCAGGATTTGAGGTGTGGCCTCACCAGCTCCCAGCACAGAGGGGCAGTCACTGCCCTGGTCCTGCTGGCCACACCATTGCTGATACATTCAGGATGTCCTTGGCCTTTCTGGCCACCTGGGCACATTCCAGTTCATGTTCAGCCACTGCTGACCAGCACCCCCAGGTCCTTTCCCATTCAGCAGTTTTCCAGCCACGCTGTCCCAGCCTGGAGCTGCAGGGGGTTGCTGTGACCCAAGGGCAGGACCCAGCACTTGGCCTGGTTGAACCTCACACAACTGGCCCTGGCCCGTGGGTCCAGCCTGTGCAGATCCCTCTGCAGAGCCTTCCTGCCCTCCAGCAGATCAGCACTCACATCCAACTTTTTCCAGGAGATGCTGTGGGAGATGGTGTCAAAGGCTTTGCTGAAGTCCACGTAGACACATTCCCAGCCTTTCCCTCACCCACTACATGGGTCACCTTGTCACAGGAGAAAGTCAGGTGGGTCAAGCAGGACCTGCCTTTCACAAACTCATGCTGGCTGGGCCTGATCCCCTGGTTTCTGTGTGTGTCCATGATGGCACTCAGGATGATCGCTCCATGAGCTTCCACAGCACTGAGGTCAGGCTGCCGGGCCTGTAGTTCCCTGGATCTTTCTTTTGGCCCTGCTGGTAGATGGTCATTGTTTTTGCCAGCCTCCACTCAGCTGGAACTTCCCTGGTGAGCCAGGGCTGCTGGTAAGTGATGGGAATAGGTCTGGTGAACACTTCCACCAGCTCCCTCTGTGCCCTTGGGTGGATCCCATCTGGCCCACAGACCTGTGGGCATCCAAGTGCTGCAGCAGGTCACTGACCATTTCCTTTTGGATCATGGGGGTTTCATTCTGATCCCCATCCCCATCTTGCAGCTCACAGGGCCGTGTACCCCGAGAACAACTGGGGTTACTGTTACAGACTGAAGCAAAGAAGGCACAAAACACTTCAGCCTTTCTTATCCTTTGTTGCTGTGTTTCCCACCACACCCAATATAAGATGGAGCTTGTCCTTAGCCTTCCTTTTGCTGCTCATGTATTTGTAGAAACTGTTTTATAATGCAGTAGCCAGACTAAGTCCTAGTTGGGCTCTGGCCCATTTAATGTCCTCCCTGCATAAGCCCACAATTACAAGTCCTTGTTGTCATCCCATGATGGCACTGCTTCCAGAGGTTAGAAACTTCCCCTTCTTCTCAAAGTTCCAGCCCAAGCTCTTTGGTCAGCCAGGTTGGTCTCTTTCCCTGCTGGCTCATCTTTTGGCACATGGAGATGCCCTGCTCCCGTGCCTTTTGCCTTAAGAGCTACTTCTTGAAGAATATCCAATGTTCCCTGATTCCTTTGCTCTTCAGGACTGCCTCCCAAATGACTCTGTTGCTAAGCGTATGCTAACCAAGGAAAAAAAATTACATTTGAAATCACAGAAATTCAGAGACCCATGTTATAATGAAATATGAGTCTCTGAGTTATCTGACCTTGTCTGCTGGAAATTGGCAGAATCCCCAAAAAATTAGGATGGGGAGTAGTTTACTTGACATCAAGAAGGCTTACTCTTTCATCTCTTGTGCATGCCATCTAAAGAGTATTAATGTTCATAAGAGGCTGAAAGTTATGAATCAAGTTTGGTATATAATTATTTCTCTTCATCTGCTATTTTCAAAGTATCCAACTGCCTTGTCTGAATGTTTCCATTCAGCACCTTCAGGAGACTATCCTGAGTAGAAAGGAAATGTGACTTAAAGGCCAGACAGGAGAAAAAAGGTAAGTAAGCTATTTTTTATGCTTTTCTGTGATGTCTCAGAGTATTATCAGAAGCCAAGGACTTCAGGGAAAGATGCCCCAGACAGTGGCACCATGGAGAGGGGGGAACTGTCTGACTCATACTCCTTGCTAGGCATCTAAAAGAGCTAAAGAAATCTGTGTACTAAACCTGAATAATTTCCAAAGATGCAGCAGTGCTTTTGCCCTTCCTAAACCAAACCCAATTACAGTTACACTCCAACAGACAAGTCCAAATGCTGCTAAAAGAGTTTATTAAAGACCATACTAACAGTTCTCATAACAATGGCACGTACAATGATTCAAAATCATGACAAATAGTGTGGAGTTTTGAAGAGCATTATTATAACACACCATGGACAAGAACAAAGCAGATGTGCTGTCTCAGAACTCTACAAGCAGGCCCATGAAATACAGGTGTCACATCATACAGCTACACAAGTGTCAGAGAAAATAGAAAGGAAAAAAAGGTCATTCAATATGCAGTCCTTGAATTTATTGACAGTATTACAGTACTTTATGGGCAAGGACTGGCTTGTTCCAGCTGCACTTTCCAGAGCACAAGGGCAGCTGGAAAAGCAAAAGTATCCCCAATAAAAACCCTCCAACAAACATGCCTCAGGTGCAATCACCATTCCAGACCTTCCTGCTCATGAATCTTCAGTCAGAAATTCTGACCTCCCTGCAATTACTTTGCTCAGGACAGTGTTTTGTTTTTTTAAGAAAACAAAAGCAGGATGCTTCTTTAAGACAGTGCAAAAATATTTCAATGGTATTGTCAATGGTATTGTAAGATTAATGACAATCAGCATAGATTAACCATAGCACGGCCAACAGCATCTCCAAGATCAGAAGCAGATGGACGTGCTGCCTCTTGACCAGCACTCCAGACTGAAGGCTTGAAGAGAGGGTGTGTTCTTCTCTCTCAAGCAAGCCATCATTTCTGGGCTCATAGCAAGGAATGGTCTTAGCTACTCCAGGGTAATAAAATGCTACAGAAAGCCTGAAATATTAAATTATCCAATCCTCTGTCAAACACTAACAAAAGAATATTAAAGTGGAAAAAGCACATAGCAGCCATGTGATTTGTAATGGCTCTAACTCTACGATTCTCACGCTGATCCCTTCCTGACCATGTCAGTCACAGCAGCCCAAGCGTGCCTTACGGAGCTGAGCAGCTTACAGCACTCCCACGGCCA